GTTGCAAATAATAATGAATTGCATAGCTGCTGTGATCGAAAAGGGTCCGGAACGTATGGGTCCGGAATCGGAGGGAATTGTGGCACATCCTTTACAGACAATGAATGACTGTGCAAATTTCAGGTGCAAAAAACAAACTTACTGCGTTCTGCACCCTCGAATTGTCTTGTAAAAACACCTTGCGATGTGAAAGTGGGTGGGGTTTTCGTCATCCTATGAATACAGATATTATGGCTATAAGGCATTGACATTACTCTGATTATATCCAATTACAATATCCTCGACTACCTCTCTACCAGGACACAAAACATTATGATCAAAACCGCCTTTACATTTGCCTTTTCAATGTGTATGTGGAAACACCTGGATTTGAGGTTACATTGATGAAGAAAAGATTTTTCCAGCTAAAGAGAGGTCACAGTGATCTCAGTTGCATGGAATGAGCAATGCTTCAAACTGCAGAGCAAGAGCGCCTCAGTGTGGTTCCACAGACAATGTGTTATGTAGAAGTTGACATGGGAAAAGAAAAGACATGGGAATTCCTGTATAATATGGGTCATATGAGAGAATCACTTATCATTTATATAAACTGAATAAACATTGTCTGGGGGGAAAAACCCATCAGTTTTCCTCTAGAAATGCTGCACAATATACAGGGTTCCCGCACTTTTTTGATGAATGATTTCTCTTGCAATGGGACTGTTGCTACTAGCCTGGATGCCAGCCTGAACAACATTTTTTGGTCGGGAAGTTTGGTCTGGACTCGATCCATTGAGGAGTAATTATGATCAGGCAAAAAATGATTGGGCCAATCAGATTGCCAGGGCGGGCTTTATATGATGATGGACAGATGATCTGCAGGGACGTAATCATCACGTTATCAAAGAGCACTAACTGGTTTTCCTCAGCAACACATTCTCACCCCAAGGCGTCGCCTTTGACCATGCTACAATATTTGACGTTTTAGGCGCCCTTTAGCGTCACTTACATGACGCGATCCTACGGCGTCAACTAACTGACGCTAAAGGAAAGCGTCAGTTAGAAGACGCGGTTAGGTTTAGGTGTGGGGTGGGGGTAGGGTACACGCGATCCTAGGGCGTCATCTAACTGACGCTAAAGGGCGCCTAAAGCGTCAGATATTGAAGCATGTCCAAATGCTTGAGAATGGGCTGTCCTCAGAGATGACTGCAGCTGGAGAATTGAGATGCATAGATTCCGCTGTCGCATCTGTTTTTAAAATTAATTGACAGCGCATTCATTTTAATAGACAAACAGAAAACTGCAATCAAGGCATTTGTCGATCGGAAAGATATTCGGCAAAAGTGTAACTTATCAGCTGGCTCTGAAGGTCGCTAAGTTAAGAAGATGGGACGTAATGAAAAGCATGTGGTCGTTGTGGTATCTCCTTTGGTCGCGCTCATGAAGGACCAAGTGAAAGAAACAACACTCATTATTTTGCTACTAAATGAAGTAAGTTCTGTTGTTGACAACTATGCTATGTAAAGTATTTGACTTACTGCGTTGCTCTGATTGGTTGTAGGTCTGTCCGACTATCCAATTGAGTGCAGAGGTTGTTTGTTTTCCCTGGTTTGGTTAAGACACGCCTCATAATCAAAACCCTACTGAGCGGTCTCAGACTCATAGTCTGATCAGAATATGAGTATGACGAGGTCAGGCTATGTTGCTAGTGCATTTTTTCTAATTTCTGGGAGGTTAAATTCCAGTTGTATTTTAGGTAACACTACTTTAAATAATAACAATAATAAATATTATTATTATTTTCATCATTTTTTAGCTAGTTTGTGATTACACCATTTTTTTTTGGGGGGGGGGGGTGGTTTGGAGAGACTTTAAGCCTCTTTTATTTACAGTTATGAAAAGCAATGTTTTGTAATTATTATCAACAAAATTTGTACAAACATTTGTGAATAAAAAACAATGTATATTACATTACACAAGAAACATTAGGCTACTTAAAAGACTCATACCTACATACACATAAATTAAATAGGCTATATATAAACATAAGTTTCAATTTATAACACCATAACCACTCTCATCACTTGGTTGACAAAAATACTTTCAGTACCCCAGTACCCCACTTTATCACTTATTCATAAAACTTATACTTAAACATTATTCTTCTTTTTAACAAAGTCTTAAACATACAGTATGTTTTATTTTATTTTTTCCTTGTCAGTCAAATTGCCCTTTTAGCCTCATAAAGCAATAAATTAATTAACACTATTTTCTTTCAGTTTGAGGCACTACATTTTAGTCAAAAAGGTTTAGGCAAGAGAGCAAACTTCCTTCAGCCTCCTGCTAATCCTCTACATCCACAGCCACACTGATCTTGGGTAATATATTTTCAGATATGCCAACTTTTAGAGGCAAAACAGGAAATGATTCTTAAATATAAGCTAACAATTTTTACTCAGTTTGAACAGAACGGATAAACGGTCTTTATGGCCTGTTCAACAGTAACCCGTTGGTCATTTGACCTAAAATGCCAATTATTAATTCCCGCTCCCACCAAGCTTGCACACACGGTCTGTGACTCCAATATCACACAGGAGAAGTGAGAATTAAAATTTAAGGGGTTCTTCTAGATGCCATTGAAGGTGTCTCAGAGTCTATAAAAATCTGCCATGCATTAAGATCCATCTCCTTTGAATTCATTAAAATATTCAGTTTTAACCTAATTCAGATGATGCTCTCTCATACAATCCAATACTGTAATTATTAATTTCAATGTATTTTTTTCTTTTACAATTACAGTAATGTCATCTGCACACACAATCAGCTTAAAAGAACGAGTATCATCTCCAACCCTTAAGCCAGACAGACCTATTCTTAATAGACACAACAGTGGTTACCCCGCCAAAGCATAGCCGACCTAAGAGTAGACACCCTTGTGTGATACCCTACCATTTTCTTATTGGTTGACTTAAACCACCACCAATTTTTAAAACAAAATATGAATTCATTAACAAGAGTTTGATCCAAGAAAAACTTTGCAAACGCATGCATTGTTTAAAACAAGCCAAGGCTTTTTCCTGATTTTTTGGACAAAATTTACATCCACTTCAAAAAGTTCAAAACATCTCTGATCAAAAAAAAATATTATCATATATTGTTCTTAGCTGACACGCTCTCATTGCGTCAAAGCCCGCCAAAACAGCGTGGCCCGAGTCTATAAATAGGCGAGTTTCCCGCTGTTTTCCGGTTTTCATTGAATGAAGCTAGAACACTAGTAGCGCAAGCACGGCCGGGAACGCAATACTCATTCCCTCATCTAGAGAGAACCGAGGATACGTTAGGCAACTGATTCGTTCTCTTACGAGAGGTTCTCTCGTATTGCGTAAGCTAGCTTACGCTACGGGAACACATGGTCAACGCCGTTCGCGCTAAGCATCCACAATGAGTACCGGGGGAGGGATCCCGGGGGACCCTTACAAATGGGAATTAATCAGTGTTGGGAGTAACGCATTACAAAAGTAATACATTACAGTAACACATTACTTTTTGCTGTAACGCAGTAGTGTAAGGCATTACTAATCAATTTTCAGTAATATTTTACTCGTTACATGTTCAGTGAGGCTTGTATTACAGTTGTATTACAGTGTATTGTCTGCTTTTACTTCATAAAGGCAACAGACTATGTGAAAGTTTTAAAGCAGTCTTTTAGTGCCAGTTCAGAGCGGTCGCGTCTATACAATTTTTTTTCTTCTCATAAATGCGAACACGAAAACTAAAATAAAATGAATATTTTAAGTTCTATGGAGACTGGAGAGCCAATTCTGTAATTAACAGAATTCTGTAATTAACAGAATTACAAAAAATCGATTTTGCCTCCTATTTTTTTGTCACGCATGAATGTGTGTCTTTTCCCTAATATTAAATATAAAACATAGACTGATATTTGTCTAATGTCTGGAGTCCTTTAAGGAAGTAGCCTATATACGTTTCAAGACATGTATTTTCTGAGAATTTTTATTTCAAGTTTTGACTGCAAATGTCATCATGTCCATAATGCTGGACTTCCCCAATTTTAAATAATTTATCCTCAACTAGTTTTGTGGTGTAGGTCTACGTATTTTATAATGTTAACTTCAAATAATACTAATAGCCTAATTTAAAGATAAGGTAGCATTGGATATGGACCGTAAGGAGAATAACGCTGGAGTTGGAAGAGGTTTGTCGCGATTCTGTAGGTTCGTTGATCTGAGTCGTGTGGCGAATCGCGATTTCGGTTTCATATTGCATATCGTTACGGCCCAAAAGTTAAGTTCTACTTAGTTATTTTGGTGAAAGTAACTAAAAAGTAATACATGAGTAATGTAACGCATTACAATTCTGGGACAGTAATATTGTAAGGTAATGAATTACTTTTAAATAACAGTAACAAGTAATACCTAATGTATTACAGTTTGGAAGTAACTTGCACAACACTGGAATTAATATTGTACGTGAACATGAAAGGGCCAGCAAGGGGGCCGGGATTGTGTAGTACATAAGCACGAGGGAAGAATAAGCAGCACGCCGGTTGTATGAGTGTGACCTCTGATCAAAAAAAAATATTATCATATATTGTTCTTTCTCGAATTCAATAGGACTGATATTTGATTATATATACGTACACACACACACACACTAGGTATGTGTGTGTACTTGTACACTATCTTTGTGAGGACCGGTTTGAGTTTTACCACACTATTGCAATGCTACAATAGTCATATTTGGAGTGAATCAAAAAAAAGTTGTCATACGACAAGAGTGGGTATTGTTCAAAATTCATGCATAACTTTGATGAAAGGTTTTGATCCACTTCAAATGTTAACTACTGTACATCAGTGAAAAAAAAAAAAAAAGGTATAACCAGTTAATATGGACAAAACGTGTTCTGCTCATGCTAGGTGTGTAAAAGAGGCCTCAAAAGATAACATACAACAAAAAAAAAAAATCGAATAAAATCAGAAAGGGGGCATAAAGAATAAAGCAGCAGTTTAAGATGTTTATTTTAAAAATAACTTGAATACAAAACATACATAAAAAATATTGGGGAAAAAAAGGTCTTAAACATAAGACATCATACATTACATTCAAATATCACCTGCATTCAGGTGAGAGGACTATCTTTGTAGATCCTTTAGTGTTTAATTTCTTGATTTTAATCACTGCATTGACGCAAAACTCCACTTTCAAGACACTTGTAACAATAAAGCCTCTTATTTGAATCAGGGAGGCCTTAGAAACTAGAATCAGGTTTTCATGCAAAAATGTGTGTTATGGAACAAAAATATTTTTGTGTGAAATGTTTTGTACAAGCATGGTGAGCTTCATGGCAAATTTTAAAAAATTAAAAAGAAATATACTAGGTGGATGCAGAGTCGCCATCTTGTAGTAAAATGTGGTCCAAGAAGACCACATTTTGATCAATACATGCATCTGAGGGTGAAGGGGAAAAGGTCAAATGCAAGAGAACATATGGACCATTAAAAACTCTTTAAATTTTAGAAAAATAGAATGTCCTTAATCGGGAGATCACCAGCAAATACTAATTGGTTAATCAAGATATTCAAGTATTCACCGGATACTTTTTAAAGTGTTAAATTACACGCAACATGGATGGCAGTATACAAGTCTGAGAGGGGAGATGATTTTGATACAGAGCAAATGTTAAGTTACAAACTTAAGTGCATGCCTGAAAGGCCAGCAGATAGCAAGTAATATGTAGTACACACAAGATTTTAACATGCACAAAACCACAATCCCAACAATAAAACTGGTTGTGATATGGATTTGAACATGATACAATAAGTACATACAAAGTAATCCATAGTATAATGTCAATTTACATTCAATTTAAGAAAATTAAAATTGAACTAAAATAAAATAAAAATATTGCACAAAGATAGTATATTACGTAAAGATTTACAGTACAAAAGCAAATCACAGCCTAGTGGTACCGCGACAAGATTTGTTATCAAAAATATTCTGAAAAGCAATAAGAATAGATGAAAAATTAACAACGTATCAGTAAATAAAAAAAGGTATTAGACACTGTCATACGGAAAAAAAAAAATAGGAGGAATATGTACAAATGAAAACAGGAACATTTAAATGTGTAGTCACAGGAAGAGCACTAGACAAAACAAATCAAAGTGCAATTTCAGACAGTGCCCATCTTAAATAGAAGTGTTACCTTTGACCTAGAAAAACAAAAGGTATGTGGCCCACATTCTTGGTCTTGGGCAGAAGTCGTAGATGAGTGGTTGGAACTATCTGCTGAGGCTCATGGGAACGGTATCCCTTCGACGACGACGCCAGCCGTTACGGCCATACTGAGGATGATGTCCTCTGGGAACATGCACAATGTTACGCTCTAAACAATTAGTGTGTGGAGGCCGCTTGAATCTCTGGCCATTCTGAAAAAACACATACAAGTATTTTAAATGGATAGTTCACTTTGAAATTAATTTTTGATATGTTTTAGCTTACCTCAAGGGCATCCAAGATATACTGTAGGCGTCTTTGCTTCCACAGCATTTTCAATTTTGACATTTTTTGGTCAAACCGTTGTTGTCTGTCAGTCATACACTGGAGGTTAAGGGGGTCCTCCCTTGGTCCACCTCAAAGAGCATACACAGAGAAGTCACAATTAAACATGAGTGAATGACTCGTGAATGTAAGTACACATTGATGGCCTAAGACACGTTTGTGTGAGAAAACGAATCGGTTACCTAACGTAACCTCGGTTCTCTCTAGATGAGGGAACGAGTATTGCGTAAGCTAGCTTACGCTACGGGAAAGATTCATCTTTTCTGAGAAGTTGAAACCAAAAAAATTATCCTTTAATTTTGTATCCATTGTCAACGCAGTTCATCTGCAGCAGACCATGAGCGGGCTAGCTAGCAGCTCATTGGTTCGCTCAGGGAGAACTGCTATAGCCTATGAGGGAACTCGGTTGAACTAGCGGCAGATGAGAAGCTGACACGCTCTCATTGCGTCAAAGCCCGCCAAAACAGCGTGGCCCGAGTCTATAAATAGGCGAGTTTCCCGCTGTTTTCCGGTTTTCATTGAATGAAGCTAGAACACTAGTAGCGCAAGCACGCCCGGGAACGCAATACTCATTCCCTCATCTAGAGAGAACCGAGGTTACATTAGGCAACCGATTCGTTCTCTTACAAGAGGTTATCCACGGGAACACATGGTCAACGCCGTACGCGCTAAGCATCCACAATGAGTACCGGGGGAGGGATCCTGGGGTACCCTTATAAATGGGAATTAATATTGTACGTGAACATGAAAGGGCCAGCAAGCGGGCCGGGATTGTGTAGTAGATAAGCACAAGGGAAGAATAAGCGGCACGCCGGTTGTATGATTTTCCCAATAGTGCAGCTCAAAACAGAAGAGCTGAAGCATACTAGACTGCTAGTAGTTTTAGCCTGCAGGGCGGGTACTTCCAGATTGTAAAATCTGACAAAGGTGGAAGGGGAAGCCCATACCGCTGCCACGCATGTGTCTTGAATGGAAATGCTGCTGGACCATACCCACGATGAGGCCATGCCTCTAGTGGAATGAGCCCTGATGCCCAGTGGGCATAGCAGGTTTTTAGACACATAAACAGGAGCAATAGCGTCCACTATCCATCTGGATACTGTCTGTTTCGAGGCGGCCAGACCTTTAGTGCGCCCACCGAAAGAAACAAAAAGCTGCTCAGAGCGTCTGAACGCGGCAGCGCGTGTAGTGTACAATCTCAAAGCCCGAACCGGACAAAATAGATTGGCGTCACATTCACTATCGGATGCGGGCAGAGCCGATAGGGAAAAAACCTGAGTCCTGAACGGGGTACCAATCACTTTGGGGACATAGCCATGTCTAGGTTTGAGGATGATTATAGAGTCATTGGGTTCAAACTCGAGACACGCTGCGCTAGAAGAGAGTGCGTGAAGGTCTCCCACGCGTTTTTCCCAGAGACTGAGCGCGTCGGGGTTCAGCGAATGCCGTGACAGCTGCCACGTAAACCTTAGGCGTGGATGGGGACCTGCCCTTGTCAAGCATCTCCTGAAGGAAGACGAGCAAAGACGACGCCTCGCACCGCAGTGGGTCTAGGTTTTTGTTGGTGCAGCATTTTGAGAACACAGACCATTTTGACGCATAGAGCTTCCAGTAGAAGCCGCTCTGGCATTCATGATCGTGTTTAACACTCCCTCTGGCAAAGCAACGGATAGTCGTTGATCACCCAAGCATGAAGCGCCCAGCCCCGAGGATGGGGATGCCAGATCACGCCGCAAGCTTAAGAGAGGAGATCTGCTCTGACTGGAATGGGCCACAGGGCTGTCTGTGACAGCTGAGCGAGCTCCGGGAACCAAGTCTGACTCTCCCAACGCGGGGCTATGAGGAGCACCGAGTGGCGTGTTTCCCTAATCCTCTGTAAGACCTGTGGCAACAGGGAGACCGGAGGGAATGCATAAAGAGGGCGGCTGGGCCACTCCTGGGCTAGCGCGTCCTCGCTCTTTGAGAAAAATATTGGGCAGTGAGCATTCTCCTCTGACGCGAAGAGATCCACCTCTGCTTTGCCGAATATTCGCCACAGTTTCTAGACTGTTTGTACGTGCAGGGACCATTCTCCCGGAAGGATGGGGTTCCTGGACAGTCTGTCTGGGCCGTCGTTCAGATGGCACGGCACATGCGTCGCTCTTAGCGTGAGCAGGTGGCTCTGGGACCAAACTAAAATGCGCTTCGTCAGCAGGAAGAGGTTCCTGGATCTGACACCGCCCTGACGGTTGAGATAGGAGACTACAGCCGTATTGTCCGAGCGGATCAATACATGGTGACCCCGAATGCGCGGGAGGAAAAGCACGAGCGCGTTCTCGACCGCGATCATCTCCAGACAGTTTATGTGTAGGGAGCTCTCTTGAACTGACCAGTGGCCAGAGGCCGGTGAGCCCTCGCAGCCCCAACCTGAGTTGGATGCGTCTGTCGAAATGACTTTTCGGTGAGAGACAGTCCCCATGGTAACGCCCTGTTGAAACCATTCTGCCACGGTCCATGGCTGCAAAGTCGAGATACAGGTCTGCGTATCTTTGATCAGCTGGCGGCTCATGGTCCACGCACGGTGAGACACATGGCTCTTCAACCAAAGCTGAAGGGGGCGCATGCGCAGTAGACCCAGCTGAAGCACTGCGGAGGCTGAGGCCATGTAACCCAGCGCCTTCTGAAAAGTTTTCAGAGGCGTGAGGGTGTCCATCTGAAAGGATGTGGCGAGACGCTGAACACGCTGCACCAGTGATTCTCCCTTTCTGTTTGGTCTTGTCCTGCCCAGGTTGCACCGGATCGTTTGGCAATTTACAGAAGCGCAGTAAGCCTTCCTTTTCATTCTGAAAATAGGCATCTTTCAGATCTAGAGAGATGAACCAGTCCTCCTAGCGTACATGCGTGAGGAGTTTCTTGACTGTAAGCATTTTGAACGGTCTCCTCATGAGCCCTTTGTTCAAAAATCTGAGATCGGTCTGAGGCTGCCGTCTTTCTTGGGGAAAAGAAAATAACGGCCGTAAAACCCAGACTCGCTCATAGAAGGTGGAACTCTCTCTATAGCCCTTTTGCACAAAAGCTTTGCCATCTCTGAACGAAGCGTGTTTGCTGCTTCTGAACAGATAGCCGTATTTTATTGTGCTTAGCACCCATGGGGAGATTCCCGGAATAGCTTCCCACGCTTAGAAGCGTAACGCTAGCGGGTGAATGGCTATATCGCCCTGATTGTTGCACATAGCGGGCTGGACACAGTGTGTGGGCACGCTAGAATGTTTAAGGCAACGGGACTTACACTCAGAGAGGAGTTTATGGGCCGTGTAACAGAGCGGGCAGAGGGGGACGCGCACATGGGCTCGTGGGCACGCTTATGCACTCTGACACTCGAGCGGGCTGTGTCCGCTCTATTGGAGTGGGCTCTGAGAGAGACACGGGACATGTGGTGCTTTTGTGTAAGGGTGAACACAGGATTGTGGGCACATTTTTCTACACAAGAGGCTTTTATGCAGAGGAGGGACGCGTGCACGGCTCGTGGGCGCGCTTATGAACTCCGACACTCGAGCGGGCAGTGTCCGCTTTATGTGAGTGGGCTCTGACAGAGACATTGGGAGTGTGGTGCTTTTGTGTATGGGCGAACACAGGATTATGGGGGGACATATTCTACACAAAAGGCGTGTGTATATATACACATGTATGTGTATACACATAGCGGGCAGAACAAGTGTGTGAGCGCACTTACAGTGCTTGTGCATGACGGCTCGCGAACAGCCAATGGCTGTTTAGTGAGTAACTTCCCGATAAACGTGAATGGGGTGCGAGTCACGGTGTGATGAGCGAGCATGGTCGCAGGCACGGGTGTGGTGTTGGTGTGTAAGAGTGAACACTGAGCTGTGGGCACATATACTACACTTATAGCATGTTTGGCGTAAGCCACACATTATGCACTTATGCCTGATTGCATTTTAGCCTGATACACAAGTGACGTGCACAAGTGACGTGTGCGCAAGTGCATGTTAAAAACGTGAGCTGTAGCAGTTCTTCCCGAGCGAACCAATGAGCTGCTAGCTAGCCCACTCATGGTCTGCTGCAGATGAACTGTGTTGACAATGGATACAAAATTAAAGGATAATTTTTTGGCTTAATTTTCTCAGAAAAGATTAATCTTTCCCGTAGCGTAAGCTAGCTTACGCAATACGAGAGAACCTCTCCTAAGAGAACAAACAGTATTTATATCGTTTTTACCTCTTGTTAACAACCGTCAAACTGATCTGAATCAGATGTCCAACTAATCGTCTCCAGACTTTATGGCGGAAGTGATCGCGTGCGTATGTACGTCACGCATTGTTTACACTGAGATTTCGAAAGTTTTACCTTTCACCAAACATATTTAGATATATGGGAAGTCGCAATGGAAGACGATTTCGATATATCTAAATATGTTTAGTGAAAGGTAAAACTTCCGAAATCTCCGTGTAAACAATGCGCGACATAGATCATCGCGACATAGCACGAGAGATCACTTCCGGCGTAACGTCTGGAGACGGTTCAGTTCGGTTCAGTCGGACATCTGATTCAGATCAGTTCGACGGCTGTTAACAAGAAATAAAAACTATATAAATACTGTTTGTTTTCTCACACAAACCGCTCGTTTCGTTTCTTAGGCCATCAATGTGTACTTACATTCACAAGTCATTAAATCATGTTTAATTTTGACTTCTCTGTGCATGCTCTTTGAGGTGGGCTCCATAGACCTGCATTATATGACTGATGGACAACAACGATTTGACCAAAAAAATGAAAATTGAAAAAAAATTGAAACTACTGTGGAAACAAAGACACCCACATCTTGGATGCCCTTGAGGTAAGCTAAAACATATCAAAAATTAATTTCAAAGTGAACTATCCCTTTAAGTATGATACCAGCCAGTAGGAGCATGCATTTATCAATACTTTTAGGCAACACAAAACAACCCAACCCAAGTTGACGGACAAAAATGAAACTAGACTGGTCAATGTATTCAAAAGTAACTTAACTATTACAGAAAATAGATTTAACTGCAAACTTTTAATGCATTAAAATTCTGTTAAGGACTGAAAACAACATCAAACTCTACATCCATCAGTCTGTAAATGAATAGCAGCAGTAATTTAAAGCTGCAGTGCGCAGTTTTTCCTCTTTGTCGCCATCTCTGTTGGAAATAACTCTGTTTTTCGCGGAATAATCAACTTTATGCGAGTTGTACTTTGACACGACGACACAGTGCGGATGAACACAGTGTTTGAGGACGAGTGTGCAGCTGTCAGTCATCGTGCCAGTTTGAATACTGACATTCAGAAATCACAGATTATTCTTTTTGGAGGTATGACCAACATAATAATTTCACCGGAAAATGTCATCTTAACAAGTAACATACACTTTTGTTCTGATTCTGACATTGCAGTAAATCATGCTGATTAAACCTAAAAATCACTTATCACGCAAGACCATGCAAATAATAACTTGTTCTCAAATTGTTAATGTTAACAACATCAGCATTGCGTGACTACATGTAATGTCCTTCCGAAATGTATATTTGTTTTTGTATGGGATTGGCTAACTAAAAAAAGAGACTGCAACCACTCCGAAGTCCGAACGAAGTCTTTAGCATTTTACAACGGTTTAGTCTCCTGTTGTCACTGGTGATTGTCGTTTGAACATTTCTGGATCCGTCATCAAATTGAGATGTTTAATTATATCAATGTGCTGTGAGAAAAGGCTATAAATCCTGACCTCCATCATCCTCACACGCAATATAGCCTACTAGCCGAGACTCCTTTATGTGTACAGATGTGACGTAATGACGCAGAGACATGCTAGAATCTCCCGCGGAAAACATTACAAGCTTACTGCTTTGAATCAAGCTAAGGCAAGCAGATAGTTTTGAAAACTGTCTGGTTATGCATTTGCTCAAATGTAGTTTGGATAATTTTTAACCCCAAAAATCTACAGACTTAATACCAATATTTAATTCCAGGAGCATGTCTGTGAAAAATAACAATTTGTAGTCCCAATATACATCAAACACTGCCTTGTTTTTTTAATGAACTACTTGGAAATTTGATGTGCCATTTTGTCAATATTATATTGATATTTGAAGAGGGGGGAGAGAGAAAACAAGCAGTTTAAAACCCTTACAAACAAGCAAATTTCCAAACATTAATATGATCTAGGAATTTCATATGATCACACTTGTCCCTTACATTAGTGTAGCGACTCTGGCTGGCTATTGAGCTGGACTAAACAGGAGACAAATGGAGTACTCCATTCATGAGTCAAACCATACATACACTGTTTACTGGGTAATGGGTGTGACTGAAACAGAAAGAGGGAATACAAAGCAGTGCATGGGTAATTACAACCACAACTGGAATTCCTCTGGGCAACTTAAAGCAAGCAAAAATGTATTTTGTCAGAACATAAGGACTCCATTGAACGGCCGAAAAAAGGAGGAAGAGTTGAAAAGAGTTGAGAGGAAAAGTTGTGGTTTGTGGTCAGTTTGTGTGTAGATTTTTTACCAATTATTTCCACTTTTAATGTAATTTCTAGTAAGAATTTTGTATTTTATGCGTTTTCAAAGCTTTCTCTATTTTGTTGCCTCAGAAGTCTGTCCCAATTCAGTTTCGTTAGGTCCCTTTGTGCGCAAAAGCTGCCTGTAAAGTCATTGCCTGATAGGGCAGAGAGGCATCAAGTCAGCTGCCCAAGCTTTCGGGCGCAGCCATTGACTTTCATTCTCTAATGACTAGCAAATTAAATAAAAATCAGAGGAATGTTGGACTTACTTGACTTCCAGAGTGTAGAAAAGTTCCAGATGAGTTTGCTTTTATCTGTGGTTTCTGATTGGTATCAGTCATGCAAGACATTGGGAAGAATTCGTGAAGATCTGAAGCTTTGCACGGTGTGTCAGAATCCTGGGAGAGAAAGAGATAGAGATGAAGAGAGAGATAAAGAAAATACAACCTCAAATGACAGATGTAAATGTAGCAAGTCCAATGTAATGACAGAATTTTAATTTTTGATTTTCCTTTAAGTTTGCTGTCATTTTCTCGCCCTCAAGTTGTTCCAAACCTGAATGAATTTCTTTCTGAACAAAAAAATAAATAAAAATACTATGCAAGTCAATGGGGCCCATCAACTGTTTGGTTATAGACATTCTTAAAAATATATTTGTTTGAGTTCAGCAGAAAAAAGAAATGTATACAGTACAAGTTTGGACCAACTTGAAGGTGAGTAATTGATGACAGAAATTTCATAAGGGGTAAACTCTCTCTTTAAAGGGTAACTAAACCCCTGGTCAGAGCCTGACTCCACCCACTAGCAATATTTGAAAAATGCTGAAAAAATGGGCAGACCCCAGCGGGGCTAGGGGGCGTGCACCTGAGACCCGCCGTGAGTGACAGCTGCTGTCAGACTCTAAAATAGAGCGAGACTAGTCTGGAGTGACTCAATAGCTGCCTTTGCAACAGAGCGGCCATTTGAAGTCGAGGACTTTTCTCCCTCACCTTCACCTTCACCTGAAGTGGATGAGGGTGAATTGTATGTATACACAGGGCCAAATCCATTCGAGCTGCTGGCTCAAACTGCGGTCTTAACTCCCGCATCGCGACCGGCATCTGATGAGTTATGTCGTCGAGTTGATCTCAATAGCGCACGCTATTGATATTATGCCGCTATATGAAAAAATCCAGCAAAATGCACCGGCTCGTTTGTCGACCCTAGAGGATTAACTTTATCCGATTCCTAACCATAAATTGTGATTAAAATATCCACCATGATCACTCACATCAAGACGCCGCTGCGGTGGAGGAGTCCATGCAGGACGAGCAGTGTTTGGCACTGCGTGTGCAGCTGTGTGGAGAAGCCCATGTCCACCTCTATTCCGTTACTATCCTGATCACTGTACTAAACACTGATAAATCTATGCTAACTTGAAGCTATCCTAACTGTACTATGCTACTAGCTACACAAAATAATCTAAATTATCTATATAATGCTATGCTAAATAGATGCAACAATACCCTATCCTGGTCGTTTTCAAAAATAATCTAAATAACTATATAAATGCTATGCTAACTAGATGCTATTATATGCTATAGTATCCTGATCGTTTTCAATATTCATAAATCCAACTCCTGACTCGCTACAGTAGTTTTGACGGAACCAGATGCTTTTATACCAGGGGCTGCCAAGGGCGTGGTGAGCTCGCACCAAGGGTGTGACAGAGTGCGTCTGAGAGTTCGCTACGTCAGCAAGTACCCCTACTGCAGGAGCTTTCCGTTTAACCTGAAGAGGGCAGCACTCAGACGTTTTTACACCATATATTTGAAAATCAAAACACTTTATACTCAATTGTCAAAAAATGTACTCGAATCAATGAACAGCATTTATGAAGCTCCATTCTTACAGATCATTAACTAAAAAAAGTTGTTTTGGTGTTTAGTTACCCTTTAATGGTTTTGTAGGTGTTGACTTATTGGATTTAATGCAGAAGTGTACCGACAGTGCCTTTAATGGAGTTCTCTTGCATATTCATATCTAGTTCTCTTCAAGAACTTACATCACTCCCAGACAGTGAGGACACAGAGGAAGATGATGAAGAGTGCAGTTGAAGGCTGGACAGGGACAAAGGTGAACCAGCACTGAGTGGTGATGAGGAGTCTCTCTGCTGCTTCTCACCTGAGGTCTTCTCCAAATCTACAACATTCTGGACTAAAATGACCAGAAACATTGGCAAAAATCAAAGTGGCCTTCATCCTCAAAGCATAAAATAATAATAATAATAATAATTTGTGATTCAAACGACTTACATTTAATGTCAATCTTCCTGGCATTGTGTCTGTTCCCCTGCTGCTGAATGATCCACTCCCTGTAGCGAATTACTCCCTGGGTCACTTTAATGATACGTCCTAATGTACTTAAGATTGAAAATGAAAAAAAAAAAAAAATATATATATATATATATTTCTCCATCAAAATGAGGCTGACAGATTTCAGTGCACAGAAAAGTTAATCATGTTAAATAACCAAAAACTCATTTGTGAATGGAATTAAGACATCGAACAACACAGGTAGATACTGTACATTTAGTACATTATTATATTAATAATCCTTTAACATACATAATAGCAATGGAAATTTTTGCATAAAGCATAATGTAGCAGACATCACAGGACTGAATGAATGGACATGGTAGTTTCACATAAATCTAAAAATATATACTAATAATAATAATAATAAAGCAATTAAACAATTGTTGACAAAATGTATGCAATTTATGTACAGCTGTAATTTCATGACCACGTAGACCCAAAAGAATATTTAAATTGGCCCTGGGAATCGAACCCATGACCATGGTGTTGTAAGCGCCAATGCTCTCCTGTTTGAGCTAATTTTAGTTCCAAAGATGAATGCAAGTATTGGAACAGCATGACGGCGAGTTATTCATGGCATATTCCTTTTGTTGGGTGAACTAACCCTCTGTGTCATTGGCTAAAAATATTCAAGCAGCACAGAAATGGTTGTGGCTACAACTTTAATTTAAAAGCAATATTTGTGGACTCATCTGGGACTAACCTTTCCATATTTCTGTTGGGGTAGGAGCGAGATAGTGGAGAGACAGTGTGACTCAAGATGAGGTATGCATAATTAAACACCTCCTTCACCTGCATGGCACCGTAAGACCTCCGGCCGACATCATTTCCTTAAAAAAAAAAAAAAAGAGAATCATTTGTTCAAATGCTTAAGGTTAGTTTAATTTAAATTCATTTTGCATTAAAGGTGCACTGTGTATTTTTTAGCAACCTCTAGCAGTTTGGTTGAGAGTTGCACTAAGGGCTTAGCCCACTGCTCACCCCTTCCTTTCGAAGAAGCTATGGTGACTAAAAAAAGACAAATATATCATCGTCTGAGACAGCAGAGAATGGCCAGAGTAAGCCAAGAGTGTGTAACATTGTCACTGTTTCTGTACCATAGTCCATTATAAACCACATCATGGATAAAAAGTTTACAAAGCCATAGTTCAGGTGAGGATCAAGGGTCTTAATATATAATATAATAATAGTAATCAGCTGATTGTCTCACAAACAAACAAGCACATTTCTACCCACATAGCAAACCCGAGGGATACAGCTAGAAGAACCACATGAAACTATGCAACTATGTATTTTTTTAACAGGGAAGTAAAAGTCTAGCTGGCTAAATATGAGCTGTTACTGTGGCTGAGCTGGTTAAAGCGTAAAGCCGTGTTTAAACTTTTCCATATGAGTGCAAAAATGCACCCGGCAAAAATTATATGATTGTAACAGCCACTACATCCCCTAGAAATCACTTACCACACACAATAGGCTCTTTTTTCCTCTGATTTTGAAAATTCTTCGCAATCGACTTAAAATGCTTCCAAGATCAACGGGTTGGTGATTCCTGTAATGCTACTGTATTACGGTCAATGACAAGGTCAGCTGTTTCACGAACGTAACCAGCACATTTATCCCCACATAGCAAACCCATAACACAGCGAAGAACTAAGTTACATGAAACAATCCAACTACATATTTTACACCACTGACAAGAGAAAAGTCACTACTCACTGTGTTTATGGCTAGCTTCTATAGCTTTCTGCTGCTTCTCGTTTAAGGTAGTGACGAAACGCACTCTGTAGCACTGTTTGTTTGCTGTCGGCTACGGTAGAAACATAACGTCACAGTATGTCCACCTTCATAGAAGGGGGTGCCCGTGGTTATGAAGATAAATATCTCATTCTAAGGTAATAAAATATTATGGTTTAAGTAAGTTCTTAATACACCACTGAAAACAATTACGGATGTCATATTGCATTTCTGTTAATAGATACGCAATTTTTACACATTGCACCTTTAACAGCTTTTCTTTCTGTAGCTGTACTCTGTGCCACTTGCATTTTTGATAGTGACATTTAGATCATCAAGAATAAATCTCCCAAAAAGTCAATAAATTTGACCAACTAGTTTCCTTCATTGCAAGGGTATAAAACTGGTTGATCTACAGTGGTTTGCCCTCATACCTGGTAAGTTTGGGTCCTCAATACAGAGCATTGAGGGTCTGTACGTATTCTCCATGACCTTCATGATCTCCTCTTTGGCCAGATACGCTCCACCATCCTTCACACGGATGCCTGTTTTCAGATAATTAAAATGCCGTCCATACAATTCGAAGAATTCAATGAGCAGGATGCCCAAATTAATATTAGAAGCTCTGCAGTCTATTCTGGGATGGAGCTGAAAACAACAAAAGACAATTTCTGTTTATTGTAACAATTAAATGGCCAAATCAATCATTTCTTTTAAATACCAGATCAATCATGAACGTCAAGGTTTCCAATGGATAAATACCATTAAAATATTACGGTCAAACAGCTTAATGTAAAATGAGGATAAATGGTATGAATTAGTAGGAGAGTAATACCGGCTGGAAAATGGCATGCATAAAAGCACAACACCAAGATACCGGGCAACTCTGCAGAAAACTCACCTGCAAGAAGCTGATGGCCATTAAAATGAGGCTGTAGGAACTGATACCACCCGTAAACACCTCGTTCAAATCTCTCTGGAGCAAAAACTGCTTCAGCACAAAGATCAGGTATGGCAAAACTGAGTATTTCTGGATTTAAAAGGGAGGAAATAAAAGAAAGGCAGCACATAGTGGGTTCCCTCAGAAATATTTATATTATTTTCATATATGGCCAGGATATGGCTACATTGATCATTCAAGATCAATGAAAATCAGTTAACAAGATTCAGTGGCAACATGTTTTCAGTTCAACAGCATCAAATCAAGCACTTAATGTGGGCTCAACATGCTCATTTAAAAGGATTAAAACAAACTCACCTTAAGATGATCCTTGATAAACCGAGCTGCTTTGACACCAGTTTCAACATTAAAGCTGATGTCTACCTTCACATCTGTCTCTCTGTCAGTCAGTTTAATTATTGGTACCTGTACAGAAAAAGACTGATTACTAAAATCGCGTAGAGATTCTGTCTAAATGCAATTATGAAACTAATATGTAGCTCTGTGCAGAATCTGCACTTGAATGCCATTGTCATTCACAATCATTCCCCACATTGCTTACATGTCCACTAGTTGTTAAACTTCATAAAATATTTTAAAATGGTTGATATAAGAAATCAAAAATGCAAGAACTTGACATACTTCCAAGTATAACAAACGTTGATACTTTAACTTTCAGAACTCAAAATGAACAAGCTGCAAAGACTCAGGATATGTTTACACGGAAACGATTCTGAAGAGAAAACGCAAAAGTGGCGTTGCGTCATCACTTTTTATTATGCGTTTAAACGAGCGTTTTGTGTGGGAAATCCGGGTGCAAACGGTGACGCAAAAGTGTGTGAAATTCAATGTAGTATGCACTTCAGGCGGCTAGGAGTGCATACTACAACAACAAGTCCACGCGCCTGAGTCAAGCAGACTTTTGCGTTTTTACCGTTTACACGGGAACGCGGCGGTGGAGCGTTTTTAAGATTTACACTCTGGAGAGTGGTTTCACTTTTTTGCGTTTTTAAGCCTCAAAAACGCCGTCGCCGTGTAAACGAAAGGCACATCCGTAAAAAATATTTTTACGTTTTCACCCGCGAGCGTTCTCGTGTAAACAGGGCCTCAGGCACAACTAAGCAGTACAAAACATACATTTAATAGGCCCCTGATCATTTCATTCTGAACTCAACAACCTTACTACTACTAAACGAAAAAGGTACTTCTATAAAGAGGCAAGGACTATACCAGGTGCTCACTGAACAACAAAGCTGAGAATGACTAACCGTAGCCTTGTCAAGTAGTTTGATGGAGAAGGGCTCAGCCACATTGTTCTGCCTGAGGGCCTGGTCCAGCTGCTGCAGGGGTGCTTGTTCCCATTTTCCAAACACCACCAGGTCAATATCACTACATAATGCAATTAAGAACAAAAAAATAAATAAATAATTCCATTTATCACTGCAAGTTCAAACATACGTAAACACTAATATACAATACCTGGTAGGAAGATAAAGTCCTGTACTGAAGCTGCCAAATATTTCAACCTGAAAGATTAAATGGCACTTTAAAATGACTTGGCAATCAACTAGTATGTGCAGTTTACTCTGCAATCTTTGACAGACACTCAAAAGAAAAGCAAAGACTGAATGTCACCTCTCCTTCTCAAGATCTTAAGATGAATTTGCAGGACTTCTGTACTAGACCTGAGAATATTGTACTTAAGGAATGCATGTATGAGGTAATAATTCTTCACTGAAAAAGTACTGACTCCCCAACACTTTCTATATGGGTTGAGGAAGTGAAGCATTACATTCGGTTTTAAAAGAGCAAATTCAGGGTCCATTTTGGTGGTCACCTGGTCACATTTACTAGTATACTTCAATGACTTGGCTTTCTGAGGTAGGGGTTACCTAAATATCTGAAGAGGACATCAAGTCTTTTTAGACCTTTAATGAATCTTTGTGTTTGCCATCTACTGTCTCTGTTAGTTGCCTTGAAGATGGATTGTTTGTCAGAATGTCAGAGCCGCATGGGGTAAAGTAACTGTACGCAAATGTCAAACAGCAACATGTTATCTCTCTGTGCTGGACTCACCTTTGCTGTAGGCCACAGATTTTTGATTACAGCTTCAATACGACTGACAACATCTCTCCTCATTGCTTCCTCTTCTGGACGTGGGGACATGAAATGATAAAAATCCACAATCTCCTCATGCAGGCTGGGGAAGATAAACATCACAATCTTTGCAACAGCTTGCTTCCAATTGAAGACGTATGATATGAATAACATAAAACTGGAGCTGTGTGAACAGACACCAGGTAAAATCTCCGAACATTATGTTAATACAGCATAACTGCAAAAAAATAAATAAATAAATAAAACATCCCTTAGATTGTGTGCATCTGGTTTCATAATAGCCTATGCCATTCCGGGGTTGTAAATAAATATGCAAGGCTGTCTCAGCTCAGTAAATTTCATAAATGCACACTTAATCCAAACTTTAGAGAGGTATTTGAGGGTAAGCGAAGTGCATGCGATAATACATTAAGAAACTCAAGTGCCCTAAAATTGCATAATGTCGAGAAATACTATACAGTGGAAGTTAAATTAGATATTGCATTTAATTCAGTATCAAAACATTAGGGCTGGGCGATATGGCGATATATATCGTTACCGCGATAGAAAACGTCAGTCGTAACAGATTTTTTTATTCCGTGTATACCGCGAAATGCAAATAAGGGGGCGTGGTTAACTCCCGTGCAGCGCGCTTGACACTGATGCTGAGATTTGTCAAAGAAACATGGAGAAAGCAGATCAAGAGGATCCACAAAGGAATTACATTTTCTAAAGGGTTGTTGTTAACGTGATATCTTCGGGGGGGAAAGGCAGCCGTCGACTTGAGCAGAGCAGCAGCACCCAGGCTACAGTTTAGAGGAGTGCACGTTCGCAACAGGGAAAGCATGAAGTTACTTGATAACAACATTTCATAGGCTATATCAATATCATTACGAGAAATAACCTTAAATAATGTATAGTTATCCGCATCTTTCCTTCTCTTATGTATAGTTACTTTTTAAACATGAAAATCGCTTTCAGCATGAATGAACATCCTGCTTGTTAAAACGAATGTATAATCTTGTTTCTGAGGCAAAACTACTAAATATGCAGCGCGAGTTATATATATATTTTTAACTCCAAACAATTGCCTACTGGACCAGTTGATAAAATCTTCCTTTGATTCGATCCGTGATTACAACTTCACTCTCAAATTAATCGACCGCATTTTGTTGATGTAAAAGACGCGCGCATGCACAACCACTGAGAGGGAGCGCGCGGTGTTCGACGCACTGTTATAAGTTGTGTATAATTTAAACTACTTAGTCAACACTAACAGTAGCTGCGGTTTGGTTTTCATATTGCTGCTCTCCTTCTTGTCACTTCTGAACTGACGGGTTGCCAGATATAACAAAAAGAATATAACAAAAACAAGCCCGTTAAAACAACAGTGTGTGCAGAGTCCGGTTGTGCAGGAATACCCTTCTCCGTTAAAAACGCAGTATAATAAGCACATGTGGTAAAAAAAAATATTATAATTATATTATATCTATTATAATTATATAATAAACTGATTGATGAAGTAAAGCAATGCATGAGATTGAAAAATTATTTAAAGTTGAAATGCACCTTTGTATTTAATATCAATCTGTTGTGGGAAGTTCATCTAAAAGTTTGAGTGTTTTTTGTTAAATATATTTTGATATAAAAATAGTTTACCAAATAAATAATTTACCAAATAAAATAAAAATAAAACAAGGTGACATACTTTTCATTTCTAAAGTATTTGGGTGCATTTATTATCCAAAGCCCTTTTTGTCGATTTTTATTTATTTATTTTTTTTTTTTTGACGATAACTATATAAATAACTATATCGTGAAATATATCGTTACCATGAAATAAAATTAGTCATATCGTGAAACACAATTTTGGTCATATCGCCCACCCCTACAAAACATTAAGTTGACAACTTTATTGGAACACATGTTTGTCTACATTTGCTTACATTTGCTACGTTTGTCTAATTTGCCTCCTGAACACACTTTTTTTTTTGACTCAATTCTACAATGTTTAGTGGGTGAAAAAAAAAAAACTCCTTAATCTTGCATTTGGGTCAAAAATGGGCACCCATAGAAATGAATGGGAAAAACGGTCATTTAGAGCATTCTAAAATAAGCCAAAAAAAAAAAAAAAGACGCCAGGTGACAGCAAAGTCACTTCATCTTTAGGTTTTAGCTCTAAGAACTTATTGGAATATTTTAATGTAGTTAAAAAAAAAATTAAACATAAAAATAAGCATAATTTACATAAAAAATATGGTACGTTTTGAAGTAAATAAATTCAAAAATACCCCCCAAAAAAAAAAAAACACCATAGACAAAACTTTATCGAAGACAGTGATATGATGTTTATAATAAATAAAAATTAGGATCACACCTGAATCGTCTGTGCCCACATTTGTCCACAGGATTAAGGGCTATAAAAGTGAATATGGTTTGAGGGTTAAAACATTACTGTACAATGTTGTAAATTTTACATCAGGAAATCAAAAGTTATTGTGGTCTTCATGCTTACTTGAACACCTGGACCATATACGTACATCAAGCAAGTAGACAAATGGTCAAGTGCAAAGACCGCAAGTGTGGCTATGGGCTCTATGCACGGCAGTATTTCCGGTGAAGGTGTAAGGATGCTCAATAACTTCCGCCGATCGTAGAGTCCAATGCAATACCGAGAATTTATATTGAATTTTATATACTCCATGTTTATACTAAAGAAACGTTAGTCACAAAAACATACAAAACAGACACCCCTTGTTGTGTTTATGCTTCTTTTTAAAATTATATTAAATAAACATAACTTTATAAAATTACATCTAAACGTATGAAAGTTTCGTTTCAAAGACGGGAGGACAGTAAATTTTGAAGACTCTGCCATAATCCCATTTTCCTCAGTTTTTCTCCACTTTAATCTCCCCAACCGGAAACTGAGAGCATCCTTGCGCCAAATGCAGAACTTAGCCTATGCGTGTATGCATATAGCCTATTGGGACAGGACCAGAGATGTTTCTGCCAGAAAACAATGCCATAATAATAAGTGATGCTCTTAAAGGTTTTTGAAGGGTGTGTATGTGCATGAAAAAAAAGACCAGGGGCCTCATGTATAAACGTTGCATTTTTCCACGCGCACATCGGGATTTATAAAAAAATAAACTTGGCGTAAATAAGTGCGCACCGTAAGGATGCTCTTGACCGTGCGTACGCACTCTTTTAGAAGATTATGGGTTTTGGCGACACCGATGGTGAGCTGGAGTCAAATGTCTTTTTGCTTACTATTAGACAGAGAATCTAAAGAAAATTATACATCTACAGAAAGATAGCCTAATTCAAATATAATTTCACAAACCTATCATCACTTGAAGCAAACATCCCTTCTTAAATGACCGTGCCAGCACGCGCGTTGGGCCGTTTGGTGAAACTAACTGACGCACATATAATATAGCCTATAATCTAACGGCAGATAAAGTAAAACCGTAAATCGTCATTATGAGTCCAAATCATAAATACAGTCCATATTCACAATAACAGTTTAAATAAATAAGAAAATGGTTTAAACTATGTTTTACTTCTAATATAAACATTTAGATTAAATATGCCATTCTCATTAATGGAGTTAAACTCTACATGCAATCATTACTGAGAAGTTACAATATATACAGTATATATATATATATATATATATATATATATATATATATATATTCAATAAATAGAAATATAGCCTACCTATTTGTTGTGGATGCATTGCTTTTGAACACTTTTCTTCTGGCATGCTGTGTTTTAATGTTTTAACTAGAGATTGTCTGAGAAAACTGTTTCGTGCAAATAATGCACAACCATGTCTATCTCTTTCCATTAAAATATAAATCAATTAAAAATACTATTTGGCCAGTGGAAAAGATTGAGAAAAACTTTCTCTGAAATGTATTTAACACTATTTGATTTATTCATTCAAAAACAAGGCAAGGATATAGGCTACTAAAAAAAAATGTTTGTAATAATGTGACGGCACATCCGCATTTCATATTTTCCTAACGTCTTGTACCGTTAAACTTGGTATCACGTGGATGAATAATCATATGCAAATGATATGCAGATGAGGATATGCATATTTAAACTAGGCGTTGTAATCTCCATATATGGTTATTTCGGGGAGGAGACGCACGTGCGCACAATCTCCTGCTGACTGGGATTTATAAAGTGAGTTCTGCGCAGGTTCTGGCGTACGAACGGCTTTATAAATCTGAAAACTTTTGTGCGTACGCAAATTCTGCCTTATGTGCGTACGCACACTTTAAGGATGAAATCTACGCAAAGTTTTATACATGAGGCCCCAGATCACTAAAGTAATGGAAAGGTCTGGACTGGAGAAAGCTGCTGACTCAACACAAATTGTATAAGGGTTGAGTACAATGCTAAAAATAAAATGATCAAGTAAATGTCACTTTTGTGTCTTAAGCAGTTCTTTCGCAAAAACAGACTTTCTGCATGTGCGTTTAAACATACTCATTTAGTCTGAGACGACCTTGAGAACCGGATCGTGAACTTAAGTTCCACATTTATTTAAATTTACACCATTTTGTTAAGTGTAAGTAAATACACAAATTAAATTTGTAAAATTTAATCCAAATCAGAGTATTTGCTTCGTCTCTAGAATGACATCAGTTTGACAGCTTGGGTTTGAACCAAACATCTGTTTAAAAAAATCTTAACCACCATTGCAAAGATTATAAGGACTTTTTCCCAAGTAAAGTTTACATTTTTGTGCACTGGAATAAATTGATATTGTGGGTAAAAGCTAACTCAGAGCGCTCTGCTAAAGGGTTAGTTCACCCCCATGCTGTACCAACCCCGTAAGACCTTCGTTCGTCTTCGGAACACAAATTAAGATATTTTTGATTAAATTTGAGAGCTGTATAACTACCACATAGGCTCCTAAGGGACTGGCTCTTGACAGCCCAGAAAGTCAATGAAGAAAATGTTTAAATATTCCATGCGACTACCGTGGCTCAACTATAAGTTTATCAAGCGACGAGAATACTTTTTGTGCGAAAAAAACAAACAAAAATAACGACTTTATTCGACTATTCCTTTTCTTCCTTGTTGGCCTGAAACGAGACTTCCATACGATTACCACGACGCATGCGCGAGAACTGAACTGAAGTAGTTAAGGGAGATCGCAATTCTCACGCATGCGTCATGGAAATCGTATTGAAGTCTCGTATTGAAGGAATCCAAAAGTTCACATAGAGAACTAGGGTGGATATCAAGAATATGGAAACAGTGGACAGGACATTCTACAAAAGTAAAAATAAAATCAGAGTTTTCATTTATGAATGAACCATTTTAGTAACACTTTACAAAAAGGCTCTCATTTGTTAACATTAGTTGATGTATTAAAGGTGCTATATGTAACTTTTCTTCTAAAATGAATCCTTTTTTATTGCATGTGTATGAAGGGGTTGTAATCACATTACAATGATCCACTTGTCGGGTTTTGCCATTACCTCTGAAGGCCAGTATTCCCATTTCTGCGTGAAGTCTCCAGGTCGGATTTTCTGTGAAATCCATTGGATGTGACGAGCATGCGCGCTCCCGAGCCTCTCTCATTTTTATATACAGTCTATGCGACGGCACTGCAGCTAACGACATGGAGACTGATAACACCCAAAAACGACCTGCCTCCAGCACAACACACACTCCAAAACAAACTCCACATAAATATAAAAATAAAAAGAGGCCAAACGTGAATCGGATCGACTTTGGCCTCTTTGGCCCAAAAACATGGATCTACCTCGGCAGAGCGTTTGAATTATAGAGAGACCTCCACTATTTTTTATTGTGATAAATTTTGTGATAAAATAAAGTTTTCAGATATGCTGAAATAATGCTAAACTAATGAAATAGCAAGGTCAACTACAACATATGAGACATGAAATGAATACAAAAGACTGTTCCAGGATAACTAAAAGTAGGTGCTTTATAGGGCTGCAACAACTAATCGATAAAATCGATTATAATCGATTATGAAAATCGTTGTCAACGAATGTCATTATCGATTAGTTGGTCTGATTATGTCACGGGGATTGTTTACATGGAACATGCGCTTCTTACATGCGCTTCATGAGGCGCACATGCAGTCTCTCTCCCTCGCCGCTCTACCCTGTCTCGCGCGCGCAACACGGACAGTTTGGAGCGCATTATCTTCTGTCTCGCATGCGCGCTCTTGATTCCGTGAGTTTAAACTAATTTGCGGGCATCAGGAAACCGCTATCAATATGCAGCATACACGAAAACCATTCACCTTTCGGTAAATTCGCCGTTTTAAAACCAAAATAGGTGACCCACGTTGATCGTGTATACTTTATGAAGCCATACTATAGTATAATGTGAGATAGAAATGTATATTTAAGTCATTAAATTCAATTTAACCTAAGCTTTTCCCTCCACTGCGGCTGTCAGTCATTCTCTATTCGGTGTTCAAACAGCGCGTCGCGTTACAACAGTTAACATGATGATCTCTTTCCAAGATGATTCAATGTTATTATTATAATTGATCTGTAGATAAAGGTCTATGATGGTTTTTCTATCTTGATAGACTTTTATTGCTGTAACTTAATCACTTTCTACTGAGTGTCTGTTAGATCACAACACTATAGTAGAGTCGGCGGCGGCGCAGTATAATTGTTCTTAACGTGCACAGTAGCCTAACTGAAATTTAAAACTGTTAAAAGAAAAGGCTTAATAAACTATTGCATAGATACTGTATAATACACAGTCAGTATGTCTTTCTCTTTCCTTGGTGCTTTTAACTTTAATGCGGCGGGGCGGACACTGAAGAGCTGCGCGCCGCCCTGTGACTCCGTGTTGCTTCAAGCGCATCATTCAGCGCTCGCGATGCGCATAAGCACTTTGTGCAGCTCTTTCATGATCATGTCATAATACTTTTGCGCAATGAAAGCTTATTAATAGCCTTTCTTGTTTTGTCCTATCTATTATATTTTGCTTACTCACTAAACAGCTGTGCTTTACATTTAAAACAGTTGTGCATCTGATTTTTACGATATTTTTCATGAATGTATAACAACAATACAAAGAGCAATGTGTACGTTTTACCAGAGTTAGTGCTACACTTATTGTTTCTTATTTGTTCCCCACTAAGGAATGTTTTTTTTCACTAAATGTTCAGATTTTATAAAATTATTGTGCACTTGTGATATTTCTAGGCTAAGTTTTGCCGAGTTATCCACGAATCTAGTTTACAATAGCATTTTTGTCATAGGTTATGGTCATATATATTTTTTTTATTTGTTGTTTTTCTTTATAATGAAGTTGTCTGTATTAAGTAGATTGTTTAACACACAAAAGAGTGTGGTTTTTAGGGTTTTATTTTGTTATAATAAACAAAAAAATGGAATATAATTTTTTATCCGATTAATCAATTAATCGAAAAAATAATCGTCCGATTAATCGATTATCAAAATAATCGTTAGTTGCAGCCCTACTGCTTTAGAATGTAACTTATTTCATGTACTAAATCTACTGTCTAATGTCACTCATCCCAACAATATCATACTGTTCATAATTTCACATTTCCAGACACGTTCAGTACAGTAATGTTACTTCCTACGATCTTACTGTTACACAGTCTGAAATTGTTCAGTGTAGGTCACTAACTGTTTTTGTTATCATATTATACATTCACCTATGTTGACATTGCTGATTGCGAAAGAGACACAGATAATAAGTGAAATGCCTTATGCTAGAGAGCACCACAAATGTAACGTTATCATGGTACGAGCATGGAGCATTAGTTCAACGTCAAGCTGATAGTAGCCTGTTATTGTAACGTTGCAGTGGGAGTTTACATGAGTTTCCAGCATGTTGTGTGATGCTTTCTCTGATGTGTTGAAAGTCTCAGTGTGGCCGTGTACCAAAAGTGCTCACTCGTGTTCGAGCACGAGCGCTCTTGTAACAATTGGTTGCAATCTGAAACATCACCGATAGAGGCAGTTAAAAAATACATATAGCACCTTTAACTAACACAAACTAAAAATGATCAATAAATTTTTTTCTTTTTACAGTATTTATTAATCTTTATTAAAGGAGTAGTTCACTTTAAAAAAAAACTTTTGCTGATAATTTACTCACCCCCATGTCATCCAAGATGTCCATGTCTTTCTTTCTTCAGTCGAAAATAATTTGATGAAAACATTCCAGGATATTCTCCATATAATGGACTTCATTGGGAACCAAACGGTTCAAGGTCCAAACGAGAGTTTCAGTGCAGCTTCAAAGGGCTTTAAACGACACCAGACGATGAATAAGGGTCTTGTCTAGCAAAACGATCGGTCATTTCCAAAATAAATAAAAAAGTTTAAGTTTTATAAGCTCAAATGCTCAACTTGCTCTGTTCTGTAGTGAGCGTTCGTGACTCTCCTGTTCAAACTCGTTCATCAAAATGAACAAATCTTTTTTCGATTCATGACTCGAAGGGTCCTAGTAAATAAGGCCCTTATTCATCGTCTGGTGTCGTTTAAAGCTCTTTGAAGCTGCACTGAAACTCTCATTTGGACCTTGAACCATTTGGTTCCCAATGAAGTCCATTATATGGAGAGAATCCTGGAATGTTTTCATCAAAAACCTTAATTTCTTTTCGATTGAAGAAAGAAAGACGTGGACATCTTGGATGACATGGGGGTGAGTAAATTATCAGCAAAAGTTTTTTTTTTTTTTTTTTTTTTTAAAGTGAACTACTCCTTTAATGTTAAAATCTGGTGGTTCATGTTAATACCAAAACAATTGTGCATTGTGAAAGAAAGGTAATGCAACAAAAACATTCATATTTTCACTATAAGCCCTGTGACCCTTCAAATATAGAATCAAAATATATTTCAGTGTCAAAAATATTTCTCCAACAATTTCAAAAGTGATTAACTAATAAAGACCTGCCATCAATGGCAAATATATTAAACCGTTGAGAAAAAGTTTTCCTTGGTCATAGTTTTCCTTAAAAACAGTAATATAAAACACATTCAGTTCTAAACTAAAGGACTTTAAGCTTGTTTGTCTGGCTCATTGTTTTGGACTTGTGGCCTCAGTTAACACCACAGACCAAATGTTAGTTAGTTACTTAAATATACATTAATTACTTCTGGTATATAGTATTTCAAACAAAACGCCGATCTGGCTCAGCAGTTATTAGACATCTAAACAGCAAGAACTAAGCAAGAACCCCAGCAGCTAACGTTAGTCCTTTTCTTTACCCACCAACACGCCAATACAGAGGCCGATGCACAACTAACCGACATCACTAGTCAACCTACAAACACTAAGCAAAGTTAAAGCAGCAAAAAAAAACTACGGTGAAAAGTGTCACCCAATGAAAGTACTCTTACCCATTAACACCTAGACTGTATCTTCTGGTTGCCCATGGGGTCCCACTTAAATAACGGTCATTAGAGTGGAACAGAAAGTGGTTAATTCCATGTGTGCTCGTTTTATTGCCATGTCTCTTTCGTTCTGCATGGTGTTTAAGCTGGTTGTCCATCATTATTTGAGTCTGTAGCCGCTGATAATGTTGTTGTTGTAAACAGTTATTGACATTATGCATGTGTTCGGTGAACTTAAAGTGAATTTTGGCTGGACTTGAGCTCATACCGTCACCACTAGTATGTGATGAATCTGATGTCGGACTGTCACTTTCAGAATCCGCTGAAGATAGAGGTGATAAAGAATCACAGACGTTGACCTCGACAGGGGTGACATAAAGAGGTGCGGGACCAGAACATGCGTATGGAGATCTCATGGAACCACCATCATTGCAAGGCTGTTTGGTGAAATTGTTAATAGGTTTTAAAACTGTGTTGGTGTGAACCAGCGTTAACTGCTTCATGAAACCGGCTGCCAACGCAGGTGTGTTCACCCGCAGCGGGTGACAGTGGTTTCGCCTTTGCGAGGTTTCCCATACGCGCATCCATAAAGCGTTGGCAGGTCCTTTCTGTTCGGGTTGAATCCAAGCCACCCGAGGATCCATCTAACTTAACCGTTACAAATCTCCCAAACACTCTCTCGCATAAGTGCAGACAGGCACCCTCAAGAGCTCCAAGACTCACGTGAATGTGTGAGATGCTGAGTAGAAGTTTAAAAATCCCGGGAAAGGCTAAAGAAACCGAGATAGTTCCTCTACGTGAGCCGTTTCTCAGCGAACTGTTGAATCCAAAGCATTCCAATATGGCGCACAGGAAATCTCGAGTCGAGTGCGCATGTCTCTGGGAATTTAAACTCTTTCTGAAAGAGCAACGAACACACCCCCTTCCATTTCCCCACCCATTTATCCAACCGTATGGAAATGTGATAAAAGCATTTTTTTAGCTCTGCAGTTTAATGAATTACTTGCTATCCTATAATTGGTTTGGTATTTAAATGTGATTTTGCTATATTTTTTTCACAGGTCTTAATTTTACGGTTATTAAAGGTAATTATGTTTCACAAGTATTAATGAAATTTAAGCAGCATAGCATGAGAAAATCATGAGAACAAAAGGAAAAATTGTGGTTCAGCACATACAATGAATTCAGTTTCCAGGATGATTTAAAGTAGCCAATATTACAATGATAGATCATTTTAAGTGTATTGTTAAATCTGAGTGATAACCACCACAGCTTACTACCAGCAATATATTGCAGATCAAATAGTAAGTCAAGCCTGTGAAAGAACACATGGATGAGTTTCTTTGTCCGTCACTAGATTTCCCTTCAGTCTGTAAATCAAAGCATCCCTACTCACTAATATTTTAATAAAAGTAATATTATTTATTTATTTTTATCAAAACCTGCCATGAAAACGATCAGAACTAAAATGGAAAAAGGGGGCTATATTACATAAGGAACCACAGTCTCAAGTGTCTAATCAGATCAGGACAAAAGCAGATGTATCAAAAATAAAACATTCCAAGCAGAAAAGCATTTGCCACAACACAACAAAATAACCATAGAATCTTTAAATTTCTGTATATTAATGCTGACAAAACAAAGTCAAAAACACATTTTCAAGTTAAATACAAAAATGTTCTTTATGGTATAACCATAATATCTTTAATCTACATACAGAATATACACAATGTACAAGAATGGCATCCTTTCTGTGTTTTTCTGTAACCAATGAGCAAACATTCGGTCAGGTCACAGAGGAAAACCAGAGCACAGTCACAGCTTGAGGGTTGTTTAAAAAAAGAATGTACAAAAACAGTATAAAAAAATGTTTCAGGATTTAATCTGACGACAAAGGGAGCCAATCTGAGTGATGCAGCTGGTCACTGCAGCGGGAACTGGCTGTGTGGTTTCACTTCGCCATGATGCCAGAGCCTCCAGGGATTCTTTGGGGTTGCAGGGTGCCAGGTCATAAATGGCATAGACAGCAGACAACTGCACCTCCTCAGGCACACCTACAATGATATAACAAATGGTTGTATTGAGGTATTATAACCCAAGGGTTATACAACTTTGAAGGGTTAGTTCACCCAAAAATGAAAATTATGTCATTAATGATGCTATACTGTCCGGACTCGTGAACGACAATACAATACTGAATAAAGTCGTAGTTTTCGTTAGTTTTTGACCAAAATGTATTTGATGCTTCAAAACATTCTAACTAACCCACTGATGTCGCATGGACTACTTTGATGATGTCTTTATTTCCTTTCTGGACAAGGACAGTATACCGTGTATACATTTTCAATGGAGGGACAGAAAGCTCTCTGACTAAATCTAAAATATTTTTAACTGTGTTCCAAAGATGAATGGTGGTCTTACGGGCTTGGAACAACATTAGGGTGAGTCATTAATGACATAATTTTCATTTTTGGGTGAATTAACCCTTTAAAACATAAAAACTAAGGCAAGCCATTTTATTTTTTACAAAAATATCTTCAATCTATTACTGTGCTTCATGAGTAGACGTGTAGTACCTTCTGTAATCCCATGTTTTCCAAAAAGGTTTATAGCTTTTGCAACGTTTTGGACCGATTTGCATAGCTTCTGCTTCATTCCTAACTGACCAAGTCGTCCTGGAGAAATGCAGGGGAAAAAAACATTGATAATAAACAAAAGGAAAACAAAAACTTGGTAATACAAATCTTTTAAAAGGCTTGGTTTTATATGCTTTGTGAGACTTTATGCTATTTTTAAAGACATTTTGCTGTTATAAAAAGCACCAATAATCCCAAAAAAGTTAATGATGCTAATCATCAAAGACCAATAAAGTAGAATGAAATATATTATTAATAAAATACTATTAAATCATTTAATTCAACTAGTTTCACTTTATTTTGATTGTCCCTTTAACACATGCTGTTGACTGTAACACCTACATGTCTACTAACTCTGTTAGAGTATTAGGCCCCGTCCACGCTACTGAAATAGAATTAAAGAGAATTAAAACGAATACGATCTCCGTCCACACCAGTGTTTTATCTGCGTATTAGAATTGATCTCCGTCCACATTAAAACAACTGAAAACGGGGATCACGTGACCATTCACCAACACTGGTTATGCGCGTGACTGTGTAAACAGGAAACGGATTGACTATTCCTCAGATTTGATGAAGAAGAAAGTAACATTAGCTACCTGATGGGTGGCTGACGAATCAGGGAAGGACACGTCATGACTGATGACCAGGGTGCGATTTGCAGGGGGGGATGCGTGAGATTTCCCCCTTTCTGGTCAATGTATCCCTGCCCTTTGCTTAATTATTTTTATCCCCGGTGGGGATAAATTTACAATTTAGTAATGTAATTCAAAGTTAATTCAATGTAAAGACGCGTTTACGCGCGTCTAGAGGTCCTGTGGCGCGAATGAGGCGAATTGACTAACATAGATAATGCATCTGTCTTTTCTATTATTTAACTGTATCTCAGCATCGCAGTGTAACGTTAACATTATTACTTTAACTTAACAGCAGCAGTAAAACTGTTTCTATGATGGTTTAACTTTGCAATCAACCCGTGGTTCAGGAGAGGCTGATATAAATTAGCCTACCCTATAGACCTTATTCGATCTGCATCATCAATGTTTGCGGTGGCCATATTGTTGACATAGAAACCACTGAAACTGTCAGTCTGTCAATTGACAAGCGAGGTATAGCGTTGGGATTATCCATGGTATATCACGTTTTTTTTTTTTTTTTTTTTTAACAGCGTGATGGTTTTGTGTAATACACGGCTGTTCTAACAACAGCAATAAGACCCCTGGAGTTAGATTTTATGCGATAAGTTACCGACTGTCAGAAAATGTGAAGGGAAGGAGACAGGGTTGAGACAGCGCAGGAGAGGCTAGCTAGGATAAATAGGCTAAACTTTCAGCCAATTCCCCACAGAAAAGTCTGTTCCCATCATTTTACCACAGGTTTCACACATAATCCGTGTGCAATGTGTGTATACGATACAGAGGCACGACACGCTATAGTGCTTATATGCTGCGTTTACAGTGCATATAACTGATCGACGGCTGTACCACAAATAATAATAATAATAATAATAATAACTAGAATGTACATTTCCAGACGAAAATGTGAAGTGGTGCTTGCAGTGGCAAAACTCACCACCCGGTTGCTAGGGTGTTCTGGGTGGTTGCTAGTTGGTTGTCAGGGTATTCTGGGTGGTTGCTATGCAGTTGCTAGGGTATTATGGGTGGTTGCCAATGTGTTCTGGGTAGTTGCTAAGGTGTTGCTAGGTGGTTGCTAGGGTGTTCTGGGTGGTTGCTAGGTTGTTGCTAGGTTGTTGCTAGGCGGTTGTTAGGGTGTTCTGTATGGTTGCTAGGTGGTTGCTAGGGGGTTTCTAAGGTGTTCTGGAAGGTTGCTAGGCAGTTGCTAGGGTGTTGCTCAGTGGTTGCTAAGGTGTTGCTAGGTGGTTGCTAGGGTGTTGCTAGGCGGTTGCTAGGGTGTTCTGGGTGGTTGCTAGGGTGTTGCTAGGTGGTTGCTAGGGTATTGCAAGGTGGTTGCTAGGGTGTTCTGGGTGGTTGCTAGGGTGTTGCTAAGGTGTTCTGGATGGTTGCTAGGCGGTTGCTAGGGTGTTGCTCGGTGGTTGCTATGGTGTTGCTAGGTGGTTGCTAGGATGATCTGGATGGTTGCTCAAGTGTTCTGGGTTGTTGCTAGTGTGTTCTGGGGGGTTGCTAGGGTGTTGCTAGGTGGTTGCTAGTGTGTTCTGGGGGGTTGCTAGGGTGTTGCTAGGTGGTTGCTAGGGTATTGCAAGGTGGTTGCTAGGGTGTTCTGGGTGGTTGCTAGGGTGTTGCTAAGGTGTTCTGGATGGTTGCTAGGCGGTTGCTAGGGTGTTGCTCGGTGGTTGCTATGGTGTTGCTAGGTGGTTGCTAGGGTGTTCTGGGTGGTTGCTAAGGTGTTGCTAGGTGGTTGCTATGGTGTTTGGGGTGGTTGCTAGGGTGTTGCTAGGTGGTTGCTAGGGTGTTGCTAAGGTGTTCTGGATAGTTTCTAGGTGGTTGCTAGGGTGTTGCTATGCGGTTGCTAGGGTGTTCTGGGTGGTTGCTATGGTGTTGTTAGGTTGTTGCTAGGGTATTCTGGGTAGTTGCTATGCTATAACTAGGTGGTTGGTAGTGTTCACATATGGTTATTACAGAGTTTTTATATTGTTCATGGCATGATTTAGCACTTAGCTAATCAATATTAGCATGTAGCTATTCACAGCTAGCATGTTTAGCATTTTGAAAGTTCTATGTGCTAGCATGAGTCAAAAGACCCAACCCCCATCGTGATACAATGTTCTGATGCTGAGATATAGCTGTTACAAAATGGTTGCTAGGGTACTCTGTTTGGTTGCTAGGGAGTGGCTTGGCAGCTTCCAATCATGAAGCTCCAAAGTCAATGTGAATGTATAAACCAACCCCCATCTCTATACGATGTTCTGATGCAGAGATGTAGGCCTTGCAAAATGGTTGCTAGGGTACTCTTTTTGGTTGCTAGGGAGTGGCTTGGCAGCTGCCAATCATGAATCTCCAAAGGCTGCTTGTCAGTATAATTGATATAATACAACTCCCAAGCCTGTATGACATTCAGAATGGAAGATATCCCTCTTTAAAATTTGGTTGCTAAGGTGCTCGATAATGGTTGCTAGGGTGTGTCCAGAAATTGTTGAGGTGATTCATGATTGGCTGTTTGCTACCCCGAGTCAAACGAGACCACCCTTGTTTCTATGACACTTCTATCCGGAGATATCCCTTTGATCTCTTTCAATGGAAGTCTATGGGAGTTGTTGCTAAGGTGCTCTATATGTTTGCTAGGGCGTGGCTTGATAGCTTCACAATGATCCTGAGAGACTGATTGGTCGTCTGAGTAAAATGAGCCCGCCCCCTTGTCTCTTTGACACTATGATCCAGAGCTATGTTCAATACAAAATCCCTATGCAATTTACCATAGTAGGAAAAACACATGCATTTGATGGGACGTCCTTCACCATAGTAAGTCAATGGGGAAAATTTTGGGTAGCTCCTGCCCCCCAGGGGTGCAACTTTTACCCCATTGTGAGGTATGTTCTTACAGAGGCTGCCAGCCTCTTCAAATGTGGCAAATCACACGTTTTTCCGAAATCGTTGTTCGGAGCTATGAGTTGTCAAAGTTTGTCTCAATGTTAAGTCTATGGGATTTTTTGGAAATTTGTTCGCCCCTGGGTCGAACACCGTACCCCCGATCTCTGATAAAAGTGATAGGACACTTCTCTTCAATAGGCCGCACGATTTGATGCCTCATTCATGGGTCTGTGACAAAAACTGTGGACGTAGGAGTGCGCCAAACTTTTTCCTGGAATAGTATAATGCTATACTAGAAATTTTAAATAACATTGGGGTCAATGGGGGAAAATTTGGGCAGCTCCTGCCCCCCAGGGGTGCAACTTTTACCCCATTGTGAGGTATGTTCTTACAGAGCCTGTCAGCCTCTTCAAATGTGGTAAATCTCAGGCTTCTGTGAAATTCTCGCTCGGAGCTATGAGTCGTCAAAGTTTGTCGCAATGTTAAGTCTATGGGATTTTTGGGAAATTTGTTCGCCCTTCGGGCGAACATCGTACCCCCGATCGCTTAGAAAAGTCATAGCACACCATTCCCGAATATTCCGCACGTTTTGAGACCTCATTCATGGGTGTGTGACAAAAACTGCGGGAGGAGTAGCGTGCCAAACTTTTGGGCCGACTCAAAAAACACAATAGTAATAGTGTTGCCTTGCTTTCAGCAAGCACCACTAATAATATCTTTATTGTCCACCAGGGTGAAAAATTGTCTTTGGCTCACCAACCATTGAGATAAATGTAAAGACATAAAAAACACAGAGCATAATTCATAGAAAAATAAATACTAAAATGAGTTAAATAGATGGATACAAATTAATCACATTTCATACTGTAGTCATTTGGATGATCATTTGCCTACTGAGTTAAGGATGTTAACTCTTTCCCCGCCAAACACGGAATTTTCCGGGTTTAATGAAAAAACGCATCTGCGCCAAACACAGAATTTTCCGGGTATCCGTGTTTTAGGTGGTATACGGTAAGGAAGACCCGCGCGCATGTCCTGAATGAGTGCGCAACTCTTTGTTTAGAGAAACAGATTGCAATCGTCTCAAACAGTGGAGTAGTGAGAATGTATCAGACAGACAATGCAGAGGTATATGGCTGAAGTACTGGAGGTTAATGGACTCGGAGTCCGATCACTCTTTATTTGATAATTCTGAATCTGATCGGGACGAAGTAGTCAGTGAGAGAGATGCACATGTTGTCACAGAAAGTTCTAGCCATGGACGTGCCGCAGATAGATCGTATAATATTATGACACTATAATATGTATGTGTGTGTGCAGGCATTTATGCGTGGCTGTCTAAATATGAAGGTGTAATTGTCAAATTATTTCTCTCTTTGTGCACATTTACCACATTGTAATATGTATTTGTGTGTGTGTGTGTGTCTAGGCCTGTTTATTGTAATTCCAATTATTCATTATTCACAGGTAGAACACAGAGAGGCAGAGGCAGAAGTTTTATTGCAAAAGTTACATTTCCCTTACATCCTGGGA